TGCAATACCTTCAATATGATAGCACTCTTCCCACTTCCTCCCTGGGTTCCTCATTTCCATTTGTCCATCTTTCCTGCCCCTTCCTACCTTCTGAACTTTGTTTTTGGGCAGATGCTACCCTTTGGTCTCCTATGATTGACTGTTCTGAGGAGTACATTTCTCATGTTGCTGTTGTTGTTATGTGCTGTCGAGTCGGACCTGACTCATAGCGATCCCTTCTTGGGTTGCCGAGGCATTATCACTGTGGAAGTAGATTGCCCCATCTTCCTTCTGAGGAGTGACTGATGGGTTTGAACCGCCAGCCTTCTGGTTAGCAGTCAAATGCCTTAGGCACTACGCTACCAGACTTCCCATCATTCATTTTATAGGCCTATTTTCTGACTGAAAGGTGGTCCCCAGGGGTAGACTCAATTTCAGGTTTGATAGATGTCTAAGGACACAGTCTTTAGGGTTCTACCAGTCTCTTTCAGATCCCTAAGTCAGGTGTTTTTTTATGATTTTGAATTTTGTCCTGTGTTTTTCTCCTACTTAGTCCAGGATAGGCACCCTGGTGGTGTATCGGTTAAGTGCTTGGTTGCTAGCAGAAAGGATGGCAGTTCAAGCCCACCAGCACTTTGCATAGAAAGATGTGGCAGTTTGTTAACATACCATGTACCAAACTGATGTATATCAGTATTCATCATATATATTAATAACACTATTAATGTACTATATACCATTAAACAACATTGACAGTATTAATAGTATTTATTAATGAGCTAGTTGTTGTTGTTATGTGCCATCGAGTTGGACCTGACTCTTAGCGACCCCTCTTTGGGTTTCCGAGGCAGTATCACTATGGAAGTAGATTGCCCCATCTTCCTTCTGAGGAATGGCTAGTGGGTTTGAACCGCAAGCCTTCTGGTTAGCAGTCAAGTGCCTTAGCCACTATGCTACCAGAGCTCCCATTAATGAGCTTAGTATTTTAATTATTAATACTTTATTTCTTTGAAATGAACTGGTCTCCAACTACAGTGCACTCTTGACAAGAGACTGATGTGAAAAGAAGCTGCCTAGAGATTAACTGATGGATTTATATAGTGAGGCTGACATGTTCTTTTGTAAACAAGACTGTGATATATAACTGATAATTCAGTTTTTCTGCCCCAGTAGGTTGTTGCACATAATTATCCTTAGACCTCATCAGCTCTAAGAAAAATATGACATGGCATAGGAAATGGGGTTCTATGTGTGTTCTGGTTACCTAGTGCCACTCTGACAAGAATATACCACAAATGGATGGCCTTAACAAAGAGGAGTTTATTATATTATAGTTCGGAGGCATATAGTCCAAGTTCAAAGGGCCAGGCTTTAGGGACTGGGTAAAAGCCCCTCAACCTTGGGGTCCAGCTCTGCCTCCTGCTCCCGGCCCACTCGAGCTAGAAGCGTGTTTTTATTCATACAGCTGCTGGCCGCCGAGGCTGCCAAGCCCAAGATTGACAAGTTAAAAGGCACAGTCCCGATGTTACCAAACCACATGACAGGCCATTAATTTAAGTCCATTTTAAGTCCCAAGGTTGGCAGAGCATGGCAGGCTGCTGAACAATGACATGGCTACATGCAGGGTCCAAGTGTGCCATAGGCTAGAGACCATTCCCAAAGCTGCTTCTTATATACGGGAAGCAGACCACATACCCATACACAAAGCAGCTATTCAGCTGCTTATGGTAGATCCTACCATGGAGTTGCCAGTCTCATCATGGGAAATAACTACCACTAGCTGCCCAGCCACTCAATGAGGCTCAGCCAAGTTGACACAAAAAGATAACCACCACAATGTGCTTATTTAATGTCTCTTCACAGCATGGATAGACAAGAAGCTTTGTAAGCTGTGACTATGTTTTTTTTTTTTTGGGGGGGGGTTGTTAAATGCTTTTCTAGCATTAGAATTCTGAAAAGTGTAGTTGAACAATCACACACAATCTCACTTAGATTAGCTTCCCATTGGCTGAGATTCACATTGGCATATATTGTATATAAAATATACCAAAACTGCAAGTCCAGGGAAATCAGACTTTAGAACATATTTTGGTAATCATTACCAGAATATAACTAAGAGGGTAAGAGCTAATGGGCAGGCACTGATTATAAAGCTGACCATATGATACTCCTAAGAAACGTACTACTCAAGGAGAAAAAGCCTCAAGGTGAATTTGAGTTAGTGTTTGATCTCATATGCAGACTATCCGTAATTTGGGAGAATGCAAGCTGCTGAAAAGTATAACCAATATGTGAGAAAATTATTCAGTCATACTTAGGGCTCAAAGATTGCTGAAAAATAGGCAAACAATGCCTGAATTCTTCACTCAAATGATGTAAGGCTTTGTACTCTCTACAACACTGGGACATGCAGTGAATTGGAAGGGAGGTTAGGAAATCCTTTGTATTATCAGTGTGAAGGTGATTTCTTCTATTACCTATTTTGGATTTATTTTTCTAATGAAGATGGTGGTTCTCAGTTGAATCTGAATCTTTCTGAGGGGAGCTTACGTGTTTTAATAAGATTTTTTCCCCTAAGACTGATGTTTTGTCCTTCTTTCCCACTTGTGGTTTTAAGCTAACTACTGAGATACAGAGATGAATAAGACAGTCCTTGCCTTCAAAGACTCATAGTCTTTCAGAATATGGAATTAGGGGTAGTAACAAAGAAAAGTAAACATAGTACACTTACTCATCAAGTTTTGTCAGTAATGAAGATGGATATAAGGTGCTTCTGGAACAGAGAAGAGTTCTCTGTGGGGAATAGGAACAGAAGGAAGCAGCACATCCAATATTGCTAGTGATACCACCCTTAGAATAAGATATATCTTGATAGTTATTTCAGTTGTGCAACTGTCTAGATAATGTATCTAAAAGAGGAATCTCCATTCATTCCTGCAATATCATTAACTTTGCCTTGTTCATTAACAACATAAGTAACCAAGTCTCGTCTCTCTCTCAAGAAAGGATGTCACTTTTGTACAATGTGTTTATTAAAAACAAGCAGACACATCAGATAGCAGAGTTAGCCTTATTTGTGCATTTTTATTTATTTAGTTAGTTGGCATTAAAGAGCACAGAGCTATAACTACAACAACAAAACATTAACATACAATAATTTTCAGCTAAAGCCTTTCAGTGAAAGCTTTGGGACAAAGCAACTGGTATTATCAAGGTAACAAAGCCAACTCTGAATTAGTATTAACTAATTAACATACTAACACACATGTAGAGTTTTCATTCCAAAGTAGGAGAAGCATACTGAAAACACGGGAAAGTTAATAGTATACACAAAAGTAAAATAGGTAGCAGGAAACAGCAGCACAGGGATGAAGAACTTTGTAAAGAGAACGAGTTACTCATTTAGGATGTAAAAACCTTGTAAAGTGGAAATAACTTGTATTTCCTTGTACTAAAAGGTATTGTTTTTAGTTCTCCAAGTAGATACTGGTTTTTCTTCTGCAGCAAGGATCATCTGACCACTTGGAAGTTTATGCTGCTATTAATTAATACTTGCTCTGATACAAATTCCCATATGTGCACATCCTCCAGGATTAAAAACACAGTGCAACTCTAAAGGAATGTGATAAGACCCACCTTCTTTTTATGGATTTTTAAATATGATCTCATGGGTATTATCTTAGGACTAAATGGTTATTACTTGTAAAAAGTAAAATGAACAATAAGTCAACAGCATTCAGGCTAAAAAAAAAAAAAAAAAGCCTCTACTTACTTGGGCCTTAACTATTCCTTTAAAATGGTGATAGTAGAATAGGAAAGAAAACTAAAATATATTTTAAATGTTGATGAGACTAACATTTTTAACTCCTGACTCTGGTTCTACAGATAGCTATCATCTGTACATGGAAGCTACTGAGAACTATACTGAGTGAAGTCCCCAACTTTTCAAGGAAAACCCAGTGCTGTGTCTAACTTCTCCTAATCAGCTAGTCTTTAAACAGTGAATTTGGGAAGGATGTGAGAGAATTATTCAAATTCTTATGTAGGGCTTAAAGACTGTTGAAAAATAGGAGAAATTATTGAGTATAATCAGAGCAGACCTAAGTAACCTGGTTAGAACTACCCCACCAAAACTCTCAGGACCAGGTCAGAATAGCGTGGGTCTCATGGGCAGAATAAATGAAGTAACATCAAACCAGTGCACTTCTTGATTTTTCAGGTACCATCACTTCAGAAAATTACAATTCCCATACCACAAGTTTAAACTTAACCTGTTAGCAGTAACATTTCAAAATAATTTCAAAACACTAGAACAATACTTAACCTAATATTCAGTTGCCCTAGTTCACATTTCAAATGGCTTACCAAAAAATATATAGTTGTGAGGTAAACTTATTAAACCAAAAAACCAAACCTGTTGCTGTCGAGTGAATTCTGATTCACAGCAACCCTACAGGACAGAGCAGAACTGCTTCATAGGGTTTCCAAGGCTGTAAATTTTAAGGAAGTAGATTGCCACATCTTTCTTCCACAGAGCAGCTGGTGGGTTCAAACCACTGACTTTGGGGTTGGCAGATGAGTATTTTAACCACTGCACCACCAGGGCTCCTATTATACCAAAAAACCTATACAACAACAAAAAAACCCATAAAACTATCTTAGAACATTACCATTTTAACAAGTCACCTTTGTCTTTGTGTAGTTTTCACGCAATTCCACCCAGTATTTCAAAATGTAGTTAACATATTAGACATTTTTCATATTGCTGCACATTCTTTGTAACTTTGATACAATGTTCAGTTGTTTTTGTATATTTGTGGTGACTTAAAGTGAACAGACCCATTCCCTCTTCCCCATCCCCAATTTAAAAAGGGCAAAACAAAGAAAATGTAAGAGATGAGATTAGGCTCTAGAGTGGAAACCTTTTATCATTTGAGTTGCAAAAGTGAGCTTTTTGCTCTCATTCTTCATGCTACAAAATGAACTTTCTGAGACTACTGCCAAGTATTTTCTAGAACTTTTTAAGAAGCTCCAGTGGATTTCTGAATTTGTTCCTTTAAAATCAGAATACTCTGCCTTTGCTCAGGAGGGAGCATGGCAATCTGATCTGCAGTCAGCTGAAGAACCTGCATGATCAAAGCTGCTTTTTCTTGATCCTGTGCAGTTACTTGGCTCTGCCCGGGACTGAAAGTGCTAGGTTGGCCTCCACCTTGCTTGCCCGCCCCCTGCATGGCCCCTCCTTGCACGCCCGCCCCCTGCATGGCCCCTCCTTGCATCCCCGCCCCCTGCATGGCCCCTCCTTGCATCCCTGCCCCCTGCATGGCCCCTCCTTGCATGCCCGCCCCCTGCATGGCCCCTCCTTGCATGCCCGCCCCCTGCATGGCTCCTCCTTGCATCCCCGCCCCCTGCATGGCCCCTCCTTGCATCCCTGCCCCCTGCATGCCAGCCCCTTGCATGCCTGCTCCTTGTATGCCTGATGCCTGCATGCCACCTCCAGGATTTCCCACCCCTGAAATGCTTGGGACCTGTCTGGGTCCCTGAGGCCCACCTGCCCCCATATTAATGGGCCCAGGACCCTGGAGTGCATTGGTCATAGGGCCTCTTGAACTGGGGCAAGGGCCCCGTATCTCCATTCCTCTTGCATCCATGCCCCTAGCTTCCATTCCTCTGGTTTCCAATGCACAGGTCTCCATTCCTCTTCTCTCCATTACTCGTGCTTCTAAGACTTCAGCTTCCATGGATCGTGTTTCCATCCCTCGAGAATCTCTACCACCTCTACCATCCATGGGCAGACCCCTTTGATCCATCATGGGTCCTCTGGGCTCTCCAATTAGCAGTCTTGGATCTGCTATTGGCCCTCCCCTCATCTCATGTGAAGAAGGACCTCGGTTGTCATGACCAGAGGCATGGTGCATGGGAGGGCCCTGATGGGGTGGGCCCAGATAACCTCTGGGCTCTACTTCTCCAGTGACTGAAAGCAGAGTCCCTCCACGTGGGTCATTCGGAGCATCTCCCAACAGTCCTCGAGGAGGCAGGCCACCAGCAGTCATGGGTCCACGAGGTATGGGAGCTCTGGGATCTGTCATTTGCACTTGTCCCCGCTCTAAAGGCAATGGGCCAACACCAGGCATTCCAACTTGGGGCTGCATTGCTCCTCCAGGAGTTAAGGAAGCTGGACCAGGTCCAGGAATAGGAGCCGAGATTGGACCTGGGGCTGGAATTCCACCCTGGATAGGAGTCTGCATCAGAGGAGGAATGTCTTTCACAGGTCTTCTAGCCAAATGCTGAGGCTGAGGGGCTGGAGGATTCTGCTGGTTCAGCATAACATTAGGTCCTGGGCAGAGGCCAGGGCCAGGGCCAGGGCCAGGGCCTGGGCCAGAGACAGAGACAGTCTGAGATTTGCCTGGGATAAGCGGTGTGACGTGTATTTTGCGATGCAGAATTTTCAGTGCAATCTCTGGATCCATAATTCTCATTACTACCTGTGCCTGCAACAGCGCATAAGCCAGTTGCGGGTTTTGTAGTAACATGTTTCGAGCTTCTTGGTGACTGTTTTGGACACAGAGCTTCATCTGTTTCATCAACTCAAACATCTGCTCCGGAGGGAGGCTGGCGACTGCTCTGGTTATTGATTCTGGGGCGTCTTCCGGATCGATAGGGTCCCCATAGGGTGAGTCAATAATGGGCGCTGCAGGCCCTAGGCTCTTTAGTTCCTCCTTATTCTTTTCACTGGCAGCATTGTCCACCCGAAGCGCTCTACCGCTGAACTCCCGCCCATTAAGGTTCCGCATGGCACTAAGCGCGGTCTCCTGGTCTTGATACTCGCAGAAGCCATAACCCTTGGGTTTTCCCGTCTCTCTATCGTATACCAGCCGGAAACTCACAACGGAACCAACCTCTGAGAATATGTCCTTTAACTGCTCCTCAGTCGCCTCATACGGAATGTTTCCCACGAACACGGAACGCAGTGATCGATCCATTGCCGGGTCTCTCACCGCCAAACTCGACATGATTCCGGCTGTGCACCCAGACGTAGCGGATTTTCAACTAGTCGTCTTCTTGCGACTCAGACTTCCGGCAAGAAACGGAAATAGCTCTCAAAATCCGGCCAGAAACGGCACTATGCGCCTTAAGCGTTCCGATTCTCCGCGGAAACAGCGCCTATGTGTGCCGCTAATTTAGCTATTGTCTTTCGGATCCTTGTTCATCAGGTTTCGATCTACTTATTACTGAAACGCAGGATTCCTTTCCTGTCTCTTAATGGTGTAGATTTTCCATGGCGCCTCACTGCCACCACTGCAGCCTTGGCGCATGACCACAGTAAAGATGGCCGCAGAGACTACCCTATGGTAACCGAGGGAGACCGCCTACGTGACGTCAGAGCGGTTTTGCTTCTGTTCGACAGGCGCGGAACCGCTAACTGAAAGCTCATTAAGGCAACATGTGCTTCCGTTGGGTACACATGTTTTCACGTAACCGTTTCTCCTTACTGTGGGGTGTTTACGTTATATTTTAAAATCATATTCCAGGGTCGAGGAAAAGTGCAGTTGTTTCTAAACATATTTGAGATTTGCCCCTTAAATTCAAAGGTGATAGTTCTTGGGAAAAAATTTAGGAAAATCGCTGCTAAGAAATGGAAACTGAACCATTCTGCCAGCTCTCCCGCTCCTTCATTCTATTGCTTCGTGTAATAGCTGTTAGTAGGTGACCGGTTGACACTAAACGTTAATGACAAATAACATTTTATGGCTTCAGAGTATTGGTTAATAAATTGTAAGTTTCCTTACATTGTTAAACATTTAGATTTTTTTTTTAATTAAACTGATGCAGTGAGTTCACCACTATAAAGGGAAAAACTTGTAGCCCCATTGAATATTTGAAATGTGGCTGGTGTGAGTGAAGAATTGAAGTGTTAATTTTTTTTGTTTGTTTGTTTAATTACTGTAAAAACTGATTCTCCACTTGGCTACTGGAAAAATTTTAAATATGGAACAACTTGAGTGTGTACTTTTGGAATTGATAAATTTCATTAATTCTAAATATACATCAAAAATTTCCAGTGAAAATTTAACATTCTGATTGATATGTACTGTCTGTGTAAAAAGGATCTCTGGTGGCGTAGTGGATAAGGCATGTGGCTGCTAACGTGAAGGTCAGCAGGTCAAATCCACCAGGGGTTCATGGGAAAGTAAATGGGGCGATTTACTTCTGTAACTCGGAAACCCAGTGGGGGCTCTGAGTCAGAATTGACCAGATGGCAGTGAGTTTGGTTTGATGTATCCTTGTAAAATATCCGCAAGATTCTCAATATCAAGTCCAATAGAAAAAAATGTAATAAATATCTCAGTGGTAATTTTATATTGTTTACATGTTAAAATTATAATTTTTTGATACATTGGGTTAAATGAAATATGTTTTTAACATTAGTATCAGTCATTTTGTTTTCTTTTTTAACATGGCTACTAGAAAATTGTTAAATTATATACATGGATTACATTATGTCGTGGAATGCTCCAGTAACCTAGCCTCAACTCTTAGGCAGACAAATGCTTTATTCTAAATATGCCATTTGGACAAATGCTTTATTCTAAATATGCCTTTTGGGGAAATTGTGAAACTTTAACTTTAGCAGAAATTAGTTTACTTATCTGACTGATGAGTATGATAATTTAACCAGCAATTTGACAAAGCAGCCACTTACCTCCAAGGCTCTGTTGTCATTATTAGTTACCTTGAGTAGTCTTTGACTCTGACCAATGGAAAGAAATGTGTAGTAGTTTTCTTAAAAACAGACGTGGGTCTAACTGTTTTCCTAAGACACAGGGCAATTCATGTTGTTGTTATGTGCTCTCTATTCATGCCACCCGATAAAATCTTCCTATTCATTCAGCTAAACAGAATAGGCAACTGCTATTAATGCTTTTTTGTGCATGTGTGATTATTTTATTTGGGAGTAAGAGGGAGGAAAGGAAAATGGACAAGGATGATACCATTGAGAAAAACTTTAAAAAGGAGTCCATTAGTCTCCCTTTTGTATATCCTTTTACATAGAGAAGGCATGCATTTTTACACATACTCGGTCAAGGACAATTTAAACATTGATTATGTTTTTAATTGTTTTAGTGTATAAACGTGGGGAGGAGCTCTGGTGGTGTAATGCCTAAGGCATTTGACTGCTAACCAGAAGGCTAGCATTTCAAACCCACCAGCCACTTCTTAAAAGGAAGACTGGGCAATCTACTTCCTTAATGATGTAGCACTTTGAAAACCCAAAGGGCGTGGTTTGTGAGTCAGAATCAACTTGATGGCAGTGAGTTTGGTTTGTTTTTGGTACAAATGTGGGAATCATGAGGACGATAAGAGTATCAGAATAAATTGTATAGTTAATAGTAGTTTGCATAACTTAGTCTGATAGTGAGATTTATTTATTTATTTATAATACTGTTGATGATAGTATTTAAACCTGTTATTTCTCTGACTTTTGTATGCATTAGAATCACCTGGAGCCTGGGGTTGTTAAATCTGATAGCTGAGCCTTACTCCCTTCCTCCCCACTTTCAGATTCTGAGGGTTGGGAGTGGGATTGGGGAATTTGCATTTCTAACAAGTTCTCAGGTGATGCTAATGCTGTAAAATTAGAATCCCTTATCCAAACAAAGGACTCAAAATCTTTTCCTTCATTTGCATCAAGCCAAACTAAATTTAGTACAGTCCATAAAAAGGAAAAAGCCCTCCGGTGGTGTAGTGGTTACGGCTGGTAGCCGAAGTCAGTGGTTTTGAAGAACCATTTGCTCAGAAGAAAGAGGAGGCGGTCAGCTTCTATAAAGAAGAGCCCGGTAAAGGTTGCTATGACTTGAAATCGATTTGATGGCAGTGAGTTTGGTTTTGGTTTCCATTAACAGGTAAGAGGTCTGGGGTTTTTGTTTGTTTGTTAATCCATTAATTTTTTTATGCTGATCTATGCACCAGCCACTCCTAGGAAGGAAGATTGGGTAATCTGCTTTGGTAGAGATTCCGCATTGGAAGCCCAAAGAGGGGTCACTATGAGTTGGAATTGACTCAGGGGCATTGAGTTTGGTTTTTTGGTTTGTAGTATAGCTGGGACATGCTGATCCCACACCAAAGGTACCTTGGCCTCAAAAGATAGGGAGACACAGAGAGCTGAGGAACTCTGGGGAACAGACAAAAAGAGAGAAGCCATGACAGTAAGAGTTTGTTTTTTGTCACAAACACTTTTCCTTAAATTTCTACACCTGGTTCTGACAATACTCATGTGAGGCACATTTTTATCCTTAATTTTAAGTATGTAGAAACTTAGAAAAATATATAGAACTTCACCTAACGGTGGACTCACTTAAATTATTGAAAAATATTAATAAAAGCTAACTCTGAGCACATCATAGATTGGAGGCTCATCATAAATACTTTATATATAACATTTTTGTTCGGTTCTTTAAGCAGCGTAGTGCCTAAGGCATTCGGCTGCTAACCAGAAGGCTGGCAATTCAAACCCACCAGCAACTCATCAGGAGCTCTCGTAGCATTAGTGCCTAATGCACTTGACTACTACCCAGAAGGCTGGTGGTTCAAACCCACCAGTCATTCCTCGGAAGAAAGATGAGGCAATCAACTTCCGTAGTGGTAGTGCCTTGGCAACCCAAGGAGGGGGTTGCTATGAGTCAGATCTTACGCCATGGCAGTGAGTTAGTTATTTTTTTTTTTCCCTTGAGGTAGTCAATGTATTTCAGTTTATAGCTAAAGAAATGGAGATACAAAAATGTTAACTAACTTGCCCATCATTATATAGCTGTTAACTGCAGAGCCAAGATTTGAACATAGATTATTGGACTCAAGAGATCAAGCTTTTAAATTACCATTTCATTAAGTGAGTTGCCCAAGTATACATAGTAGAAGAACCATGGCCTGATTTTAAACTTTCTGTTTCACAATTAGTAAAGTAACCATGGGTTATTGAGGCCTCTTCACGGTCTCCCTTGTTTTGTTTTGTTTTTTTCCCCTGATTGGCTCTGTGTGAAATTGGTTGCAATATTGACATCACAACTAATGCTGTGGCAACAGATGGACTGTAAGGTATAAAGATTGAAGCAATTGAGAAAATGTTTCCTTTTTCAATTTAAAGGGCTATACTGAAATATCACATAAGGATTCTAAAATTATCCAAATAGATAGGTAATGAACTAATTTTGCATAAAATGAAAGAGCATACATTTCTCAAACCCAAAATGGGATGGACTGGGATGTTTTCCCCAAAATTTTTGGCATATTTTATATAAGACAACATGCAGGAGAGTAAACAGTGAATTGTATTGACTTATACATGGGACTAGTCATGTAAATGGCAAGGTGAAGTTTTTACATGCATTTGGGGATGCTTGGAATATGCTATTCCAGCAACAGAGGTTGGACAGAATAAAAAATTCTCCCTAGAATGATTGTGTAGTCTACTCTTTTTTTTTCTTTTTCTTTTTTCCAAATAGATGAAAAATATGAGTCCAGAGAAAACAAGGCACTTGACTAGGGTCAGTCACACAGTTACTTGTGCAACTTGTAATGGAATCTAGATCTTTAAACAAACTCTGTTCTCAGCACAGACTTTAATGTCAGAAAGACTTGGGTTAGCTTCCTAATTTGACAAGTAAGTATGTGGCCTTGGCCAAATGACTGAAACCTCTCTGTGCCTCCATTTATGCATCTTGTACATAATAATGTTGTTGTTGTTATGTGCCGTCGAGTCGGCCCTGACTCATAGCGACCCCTCCTTGGGTTTCCGAGGCAGTATCACTACGGAAGTAGATTGCCCAATCTTACTTCCCGAGGAGTGGCTGGTGGGTTTGAACCGCCAGCCTTCCGGTTAGCAGTCAAGTGCTTTAGCCACTATGCTACCAGAGCTCCTGTACATAATAATAGCACCTGTATTCTAGGATCATGTTGGGGACTACATGATATATTTATTTTTATCATTATTTATTTTACATGGTAATCATGGATC